TCCCTCCCTCCCTCCCTCCCTCCCTCCCCCTCTCTCTTTCTCCTTAGAAGCCATATATTCCTTATCCTCTCAAGGCTCTGAAGTCCAAATATTAGGGCTTGATTTCTGGGATGTTTGTTTTCCTAACACTCAATTTCTGCCATTTCTCACGAGCAGGGTATCAAGCTCCCAAACCAGACATGATCTCCAAGTTGGAAAAAGGAGAAGAGCCATGGTTGGGGAAGGGCAAAAGACCCAGACGATGTGGTCCCAGTGAAATAGCAAGACCCAAGCAAATAGGAACGAATGGAAGTAAGTTTCTAACTTTTTGGTGGTAACTTCAGAATTCTTCAATGAATAATTTATTTTTTAAATCTTCTTCAAGATCTTAGACCCTTTTCTCTTAACCAGGAGTAGCAGTTGAAAAATATCAGAATTTCTTGGGGAGGAGGAGTTCAAACTACAAAGATTCTCTAACCTTAGAGATTCTAATCTCTCTTCTGTCTATGAACCTCTTCATTGTGTGAGGTTCTCATATGAGGGTCATTATAGTTGTAAGCCAGTGTTACTCATGGGAGTTTGCTTATACCACTTGTATCAGTTAGCTTAGGCTAAGTTCTGCTCTATTAAGGAATGCCCCGAAATCTTAGTGGCTTCCAACAAGAAAGATTTGTTTCTTGCTCATGCTATAGCCCCATTCCACATTACCCTTTGGACCTATACTGAAAGAGCAGTCCCTATTTGGCAAACTCTGGTCTCGTGGCAGAAGGAAAGAAGAATGAGTAGAACCACTGATGACTCTTAACATCACTGATTGGAAGTGGTAGATATCTCTTTCTGCTCACATTTCATTGGTTAATTGGTTAGAGTAGATCACCTGGCTACTCCTAAGTTCAACAGGTAGGAATGTGTAATCCTTCCACAGGGAGGATTCAAGGGACCATGCAATGGGTCGGGGAGGTACAATCTTTCCACAAGGAACAGTAATACAGTCTGCCACACCATGAGTATTGTGGTAGGAAAAAAGGTGAAAACCAGAGCTCTGAACCTCTGGTACCAGCCCCTCAAATGCCTAGCTGACCTTTCCTTATTGTCTTTCCTCATCCATGCTCTCCATCGCTCAGCTTCCAGGAAGGAGCAGTAACCCCTCTTAGCTGTTCTCAGAATCCCATTACAGCTTACCTTATTTGAAGCAGTGCTGTTTTTTATTATCGTCTTTTTTCCTAATATCCTCAGTTTTTTCCCTTCATCCACTCAAACTCTGGGACTCCATGGTATCACATTTCTCTCCTTATATGTTCAAACCTTCTTAGATCCATCCTCTTTCCAAATCTCTTGGCATGATGTTCCCCTGCCTTTAATTATTTTCCATTTCCCTCCTTTTCACTGTGAAATGCTCTAAACTTGTGGTCTATAGTGCATCATTATTTCCATTTACTTGTTACCCTATGCAGTCAGATCCCACAGAATTCATGCCTGTATGTAAATTTCTGGCTTCCCTTCCAGCGCATATTTTAATAGTTTTGGTCAGCATAAAATTCTTGCCTACCTGGCTTGAATTACACCACTTGAATCTGGTCTTCTCTTCTAAGTATTTCTTTACATTTATTTCACCAGATCCTCTTCCTTCTCACTTTGCTGAAGTGTCCCTAAGGTTTTGTCTTCTACTATCTGTTCTTTTTTTTTTTTTTTTCTATCGTATTTCCCTCGAAGACTCTTTGGATTTCAATTCTAAATTCCTAGGAGCGAGGATATTATTGGTCTAGGTAGGGCCCTTGAAAGAATCAAGCTATTTATTCTATACTGGTGACTTTTAAGGTAAATTTAACTTGTCCAAGTAAATCTCCAGTTTCTTCATGTTGCACTCATATTTCACCTGCTTCCAGGAAAGTTCAATCTCACAGTGTCAGAAATGGAAAGCTGTGTCTTTTTGCCTTTCTTTCTAAATTAGAGCTTTCTTTCACCCTCCCTATTTTTATCAGGGTCTACTTTGATTTTAGGCCTGTGTACCATGGAGTTCCTGTGAATCTCTGCTCTCTGCCTTCTCTTTTACTGTCCTTGCCTCAGTTCCTGGTTTGTTTGTTTGTTTGTTTTCTTCAGTTCTCACAGACATCACCCAAATGAGGTGTATATTATCTCATACCTAAATTGCTCCAATTCTTAGGCTGATTTGTTGGCTCCATTTTTTGTTTCTTAGATTCCTCTTATATGTTGCCACCGAACATTAAAATATTCAGTTATTATTTATATCCCTATAGTCCCCCAAATAGCAGAATGTTTACAATGTATTTTTAAGTGTCCTCTGAATTTTCCAAGACTCCATGAATTTCCTGAAACCAGAGGGACTAGTCCTTCAAATGACAAATGAAGAGACCTCCTGGAGTTTTGGATTCATCCACTAGTGGCTCCAGTTTTGGCTGTGTTTACTTTTCTCTCTGATACTTGGTGTTACAACTAAAAAATAGTCCTGAGTCATCTAATACATCTTTGTCATTGCTGCAGTGACTTTCTTCTTGGTTCAGGTTCTTATATAGTACTTGGAGTTTCTTCAAGGAGTGACTGTTCTATTTCCTCCAATGATTTGCTGAGTGTAGTGAGCTATATACTTCAGTTCCTGAAGTTACAGTCATTTTAGCTTAAAATTCATGTTTTAGTTACTGTCTCAGATTCAGGACAAGCTTACAGCTTTAATCACATGCTCTGTCACACCCAACTCTCTCCTAGTATTACCTTATTATTATACCATTTCACTAGTTCAGGTTCTTTTCTTTTCCACCCCCTCATGGTAAATTTCTCTCATAGTGCTTTATATCTTTTCCTCTGGGCCAATTTCCATCATCATAAGGGGTTCCTATAATGTTATACCTCAAGGGGTGTAGTTTTGAGCTTTTTTAAAAAAAATTTTTATTGTTATGTTAATCACCATACATTACATCATTAGTTTTTGATGTACTGTTCCATGATTCATTTTTTGTGCATCACACCCAGTGCTCCATGCAGAACGTGCCCTCTTTAATACCCATCACCAGGCTAACCCATCAGCCCACCCCCTTCCCTCTAGAACCCTCAGTTTGTTTTTCAGAGTCCATCGTCTCTCATGGTTTGTCTCCCCCTCCGATTCCCCCCCCTTCATTCTTCCCCTCCTGCTATCTTCTTCTTCTTCTTCTTCTTCTTCTTCCTCTTCTTCTTCTTTTTAACATATATTGTATTATTTGTTTCAGAGGTACAGGTGTGTGATTCATCAGTCTTGCACAACTCACACTGGGGACAGTATGTGCTATGGTGAGCACTGTGAATAGTTTTCAGTTTTGATCCCTTTCTTCCCAGGAAGAGATTTGCCTCCATCCTTTTCAGCATCCTTGGGCATTGGAAGATGCTGTCTTTGTCATGCTCTTGTTATATTCTTTCCCCCAAAATGTTTGTATCACTTAAAATTTCCTAAATGAAAAAGCAGCTGGAAGCTCTACTTCTCCCTGCTATATCTCTACTTACAAAAATTGATCTTTTACTCCATGGGAACTAATCTCTTTAAGAATCCTTGATGAAAAGAATAGTATTTCCTGGCTTATATTCGAATACCATGACTCTTTTCTGTTTGAGCCCAGTTTTCACTTTATCCATGTAATGTTCCTTTACAACCAAGGCAGCTGTTCAATTTCTATTTCTTTCTTTCTTAGAGACTCATATCTGCTTTTCTCTTTGAGTCTGTTTAATTCCCACCTTAAAGATCTTTCTGCTTTTCCATGCACATAACTGAAAAAAGTCACCTCAAAATGGTAGTCTCAACTCTTAAGTTTTTGAATTTTTAAACATGTAGTATCCATACCTAGCTAAAAGAACTCTTTGGATTTCAATTCTAAATACTTAGGAGCGAGAATATTATTGGTCTAGGTAGGGCTGTCTCTTTACCACTGTCCAGTCAATTGTTTTCACCCAAGGGTTGGATCATATGGTTCAAACATGGTTGCCTCCATTTGTCAGTGTGGATGGTGGTTTCATAGAAGCAACACACACTGGGAAGATAGCTTAAAATATGTCATTGTATAATGTGTGAAGGAAAGGATGTGAGCAATCACTTAAAGCTGGGAATAAGCTTAAAATTTATAACTGGTAATTAGTAGAGTGACCTGGCAGAAGCAAAGGCATGCTCCATAGCAAACTGTTGGAAAACAAGCACACGTGTACATTGTAAATCCAAATGCTATAAAGTTTGTTTGCTAATCTCATTATTATCATGGCACTACTTTTATCATGGTAAAAGCAGCAGGGAACACAGAGAAATTGCGGGGTTGTTATTTTGGTTTTGAGGGTTTTTGTTTAGTACAGGCATGTTGTTATTATATTGATCATTGGTGGTGGCAGTGTAACACACTTTCCCGCTTATTCCCTTAGTCGCCTATAAGCTGTTCAGTATTTCTTGATGGACTTACCTTACTTTCTCTGTTTTGGCTCTTTGGAGTGCAATAACAAATGACAAATAACAATAACCTGAGCTGGCCTAAGTAAATAGAGGAATTTATTATAAGGACATATGTTTATCTCTTGTAACCTAAAAGCTGATACTTCAGCCAGACCCTACCAGGGACTAGAACTAGAATTGGGAAGCCGTCAGCAGTTGGGGTTATGTAAATGGTCTCTTTGCGGACACATGATCTTACATCTCTTTCCCTGTGGATATATGCTTTGTTCTTTGTACTGAGGAACCTTCTGCTTACACAGGGAAGATATGACTTTACTATTTCTTGTCTTATATCCTTGTAAAACCCAGGGGAGACTAACTAGAGTTGAAATTTTTAGGAAGAAGACTCTTATTGGACACCGTGGCTTGGGCCAGGTGTGTCTCCAACTGTCACCATGGAGAGTTGACTTAATATAGTACAGGCTGTGGGAGCCAAATACTATGGATGGATTGGCTGTTATAAAAGCTGGGAAGCTTGGGCTGAGGAGAAATCTCAAAAAATATCAACTACAATCACAAGCTCCTCTAACTTCATCTGTTACCTAGTCGCTGCTCCTTGTGTTTATTTCATCTTCCATCCCAGGTTGCAAGGTCATATTTATAAACAGGCAAAGTTTTGTCTAATTTCTATTGTCAATTAACTTTTCTTGTTTTTCCTACAGCACTTTCCCCCCAAGCCCAAGAGCTTAGGGACATTTGCACTTGATATTTCACTCACTTTGGGATACTAGGCTTGAGTAAAGATTCAGCCCCCACAATAGGACATTTCTTTTATAAGTTGTGTTCCAAAATATGAGAGGGCAAAGATTCACAAGAATGTCTTATTGAATTCCATTTTAGACGAGGTCCAGCAAGGTAATGACCAGCTAGCAAACCACCAGGAATCTCAAAACAAACTCCTTAAGGAAGTTGCATTCAAGAAAAGAAGTCTGACTAAGAAGAAAGGCCACGAATGTAGTTCACTGGGGGAAAAAAGTGTGAGTACAAAACATGTTCCTTCAAAAAAAAAGCTTAAATTCGATTCACATGGAAAGAGTTTGAAACAGAATTCAGACTTACCTGGTCGTATAAGAAACTATGCAAAAAAGAAACCTAGCATAGCTAAAGAGCACAAGAAATCATTCAGCCATAGCTTACCTGATACAAAGAAAGACAAAAATCAAACTGGAAAGAAACAAAAATTATCCAACCATAGCTTATCTAATAAGCATGACAAAACTCAAGCTGGCAAGAAACATGAGAAATTAGCTCATCATAGCTCATCCGATACTAAACGGGACAAAATTCAAACTGGAGAGAAACATGAGAAATCATCCAGCCATAGCCTGTCTCCTACTAAGTGTGACAAAACTCAAACTAAAGCTAAACCCTATGAATGTAATCAATGTGGGAAGGTTCTCAGCCATAAACAAGGACTCGTTGACCATCAGAGAATTCATACTGGAGAGAAACCATATGAATGTAATGAATGTGGGATAGCCTTTAGCCAAAAGTCACACCTCGTTGTACATCAAAGAACTCACACTGGAGAAAAACCATATGAATGTATGCAGTGTGGCAAAGCCCACAGTCATAAACATGCCCTTACCGACCATCTGAGAGTTCATACTGGGGAAAAGCCCTATAAATGTACTGAATGTGGGAAAACCTTTAGACACAGCTCAAATCTTGTTCAACATGTGAGATCTCATACAGGTGAGAAGCCCTATGAATGTAAGGAATGTGGAAAATCCTTTAGGTATAACTCATCTCTTACTGAACATGTGAGAACTCATACAGGTGAAATACCATATGAATGTAATGAATGTGGAAAGGCCTTTAAGTATAGCTCATCCCTTACTAAACATATGAGAGTTCATACAGGTGAGAAACCCTTTGAATGTAATGAATGTGGGAAAGCTTTCAGCAAGAAGTCACACCTCATTATACATCAAAGAACTCATACTAAGGAGAAGCCCTATAAATGTAATGAATGTGGAAAAGCATTTGGACATAGCTCTTCTCTTACTTACCACATGAGAACTCATACAGGTGAAAGTCCTTTTGAATGTAATCAGTGTGGGAAGGCCTTCAAACAAATTGAGGGCCTTACTCAACATCGGAGAGTTCATACTGGGGAGAAACCCTATGAATGTCATGAATGTGGGAAAGCTTTTAGCCAAAAGTCACACCTCATTGTACATCAGAGAACTCATACTGGGGAGAAGCCTTTTGAATGTAATGAATGTGGAAAGGCTTTCAATGTGAAGTCACAACTTGTTATACATCAGAGATCCCACACTGGAGAGAAACCCTATGAATGTAATGAATGTGGAAAAGCTTTCAAACAAAATGCATCCCTTACCAAACATGTGAAAACTCATTCAGAAGAAAAATCTCATGAGTGAAATTAATGTGGGAAGTCTTTTAATTCAACTAAAGGTTTTATTTAACCTTAGTAGGATTCTGAATTTTAAGGATGTTAGAAGGCTTTTAATAAGAAGTCATACCTAATTACACATGAGAGAGTTTGAAAGTGAATCTTACATAGAAGCAATGGATGATACCAACCTTTTATAGAAAATATTGTTTTAAAAATAATTATTAATTATTTATATATTCAGACCAAAATATAAAGGTTTAAAAATCGTTAATGAGTTGAATAATCAGAGCAAAAGAGAAACAAATTATATATGCTGACAATTCCTGAGTTGCTTGAGTATGTGCACTTAAGCTCCACATCTGAGAATTGGATTTGCATACCTGTTAATTTCCATATATAAGTGTGTCTGGCCACTGGTATGAGGCTCATCTTTGATGTTATCACCTAGCTCTTCCTTAATGTCTTTGTTAGCTTCTACATCAGCTGCATACTTTCTAAAAGTTATTTATGTAAAAAATATTAACACAAAATTAAGAAAAAAATAAAAGAAAGCAGCCAAGGATAGGGACATCATTCCCTACCAGCACCTGTGTATTGTTAAGTGAATAAAATTGTTAAGTGAAAAAAGCAGGTTGCTGAACTGTGTGTGTAGTATGTTCCCACTTATGTACAAAAGGGTGTGTTTGCGTGTGTGTGTGTGTGTGTGTGTGTGTGTGTAAGTATATATACATATATTTGTATGTGAATAGACTTGGTTTGAAAAAATACAGAAGAAACTTTATGGTGGTTGTCATGAGCAGAGGAGTACAGGAATGGGGGCTAGGATGGGAAGGAGACCTCCTTTTTATTATATACTGTTTGAAATTTTAAATAATGTACATGTGTTATTTTCACAATTAAAATGTTTTTAATATGCATACATCAACACTGATTAAAATTTTCACTGAGCTCACTCCATGGTGTTGTTTGATGAAGTGAAAGTGTCTATGCCTATTATGAAGGGTGATGAATCTGAGGATATGGTATTAAACTTGATATTGAATTCACAAAGACTTTTCCTGTCAAACACATCTTTTTATTAAAATAATGAATTACAACTATAATTTAGCACCATGTTTCTTCTATATGCCATATTTTTAAAAGACTGAAGATAAATTGTGATTGCAGGTGAATGAAAGTGATCTTCTGAACAGTCACTCCATTTTATCACATATTCAGAGCACTTATATACAAACACCTGAATCTGGGATTTCAAATGTATTGCAACAAATACCACTACTTCCTGTTTCTGCTCAATAGCAGACATTGTTAATGGATCACTGCACTTTTTCTGAGTGAACCTAGACTTGGCCTCAGAGTCATTCTTAAGCATGCATTCCAGATGGTACTGTGAATCAATTTGGGTTTCCACATGAGACCTATTTTCTACTGCATACCTATTTACTATTATTATTTTTTACTCATAAGTCATAGATAAAAAAATACAACTGAATTGTTTTTAAATTGTTACACCAAAAACAGTGACATAAGGACAAAAATGGTTTTGTTATATAAGGTAATAATATTGGGCATGCATGTCACCTTTTACATTTTCACAGCACATTGACTACATTTCCTCGTTTGTTCTTCAGAACAAACATATGGGTCAATAAGCAAGACTTTTCTAGTGGTCAATTCTGCTCAATAAATATTTCACCTGGATACTAGTCTAGCATAATGATGGACCCTCAACAAATAAGTGATTAAGTGCCATCCTTGCAAATACTTCGCATTCAAGTTCCTGCCTTCCTGATTTCCTCATTTCAGAGAATTAACAGATGTAAGTACTGAGAATGAAATTATGTGTGTGTGCATTCATGTAGTGCACACATGCATTGAAAAATCAACTCATGGATGTTAGAACCTCATTTCCAAGTAACTTATTTACTCTCAGAGAAGGAAAGAGCAATGTGAAAGCCATTTTCCATCAGTAACTTATAACCACGTGGAAGTTTGGTACTATGCACTGAATGAATCCTCACTGTCCAGAGCTGTGGAAAATCTGCACTTTTTAGAAGGATAAAACAGTTGCATGTTATGGCTATGTTAAATTCCCCACACCTCTTGGAGAACTCATAATAGTACCATACCTGGACAGTATGCCTGAGTAGTAGAAATGAATGCTGAAAGTCATCCTGTACAGTAAGAAAGGAATTAAAAGTCAGCATCAATAAATGAGGAAGTGATGTCTAAAAGATTATTGGAGGCAAAGGATGAAAGAAAATAGACATACAGAAATGAGTCTAAATCAATGATAAAATGTATCGAAATTGCCGGGAGGGTTTGTTAAAACACAGACTTTAGAAATGGGCCCCACCCACAGAGTTTCTGATTCAGTAGGTCGGGGTGGGGGGGTGGCTGAGATTTTGCATTTTTCATAACTTGCCGGGAGACGCTGGTGCTGCTGGTCTGGGGACCACACTTTGAGAAACTGATTTAAATCATTGTTGAAGTGAATTTAAAAAGTATTTAAAAATGTTTCTGAGATATTTCTTTAACATGAAGATAATGTTTATATACACAAATACATATGTTAGAAAATGCATAATATCACCATCATTATGTGGACAGTGATTTTTTCAGGATTGTCAGTTTAAGAGTAAGTTTTATGTTTTTCTAAATAATTTTTCTATTTTCCTGAATTTATTTTGTTGTAATGAATTTTCATTACTGGGGTATGGCCAAGTAGAGTCCTACTAATCCTGACCCTCCCACAGAAAACAGTTATAAACTCCTGACAAAACCACATACACACACACGCGTGCGCACGTGCGCGCGCGCGCGCACACACACACACACACACACAACCAATGACCTGAAGGTATTGGAGAGTGAACAAAAGCAGATTATGGGAAAGAGTTGAAACTTGGAAGAAGGGAATATAGGAGGTTAGATCACAGCTTTTAGCCTGAGGACACACTGAAGTTGGTGTGGCAGGGGCAGGGGATATAATTTGATAGAAAACATGCAGTCTTTTTAAGATGAAAAACCACAGGACTGACTTCAGGGCAACCACAGCCACTTGGAAAGTGAGAGGAGAATCCCAGAAAAGAGCGACTCAAAGAGGGGGTAATCCAAATTCTGTGAATAAATTCTGCCCAAATATCTGACTGACCCCTGAACTATGCGTATTTGGCACAGACGCCTAATGCTTCAACTAAAGACAAGAGAACTGAGCTTTTATTTGTGTTACTGCCCCACAGACTTAGTTTGAAGTTTGAGCTCAACCATGCTAATTACTTGATAAAACAAAAATATTAACACACTTCAGAGAAATAGAATCCAAACTCTCTACAACTTATCATTCATGATATATAGGATATAAGAAAAACTTACTTGACAGTCAAAGAATTAAATTGCAACCCCATTTCAAGAAAAGAGACAACGAACCCCGAAGCTGGAATGAACATATGAGGATATTAATATAATTATTATAATGGTGCTTAATGAAATAAAGATATATATGCTCACAGTGAATAAAGATTTTTTTAAAACTAAGCAAAGAAATAGAAACTATGAAGAAAAACAAAAAGAAAATTCTAGAACTTAAAAATACAATGTCTTAAATTTAAATTTCACTGGGTAAGTTTACCAGCAGAATGAAAATGACAGAGGAAGGGGTGATTGAACTTGAAATAGCTCAGTAGAAATGATTCAAAGTGAGGAGGAGGGACTTTTTGTGCTGCGACGCACCTGGCGCAACCCTCTCCTCTCTGAATAATCTGAGTCCAAGTCCCGCGGAGGCTACAGCCATGAAGGAGAGACGCGCCCCGCAGCCAGTCGTGGCCAGATGTGAGCTCGTTCTGGTGGGGGATGTGCAGTGCGGGGAGACTGCGATGTTACGGGTGTTAGCGAAGGACTGCTATCCCGAGACGTATGTGCCCACCGTGTTTGAGAATTACACAGCCTGCTTGGAGACCGAGGAACAAAGGGTGGAGCTCGGTCTCCGGGACACCTCAGGATCTCCCTACTATGACAATGTCCGTCCACTCTGCTACAGTGATTCGGATGCAGTATTACTATGCTTTGATATCAGCCGACCGGAGACAGTGGATACTGCACTTAAGAAGTGGAGGACGGAAATCCTAGATTATTGTCCTAGCGCCCGTGTTTTGCTTATTGGCTGTAAGACGGACCTGCGAACAGACCTGAGCACACTGATGGAGCTGTCCCACCAGAAACAGGCACCTATCTCCTATGAGCAGGGCTGTGAGATAGCCAAGCCGCTGGGTGCGGAAACCTACCTGGAAGGCTCGGCTTTCACCTCAGAAAAGAGTATCCACAGCATCTTCCGGACGGCGTCCATGGTGCGTCTGAACAAGCCCAGCCCGGTGCCCCCAAAGAGCCCTGTCCGCAGCCTCTCCAAGCGACTGCTTCACCTCCCCAGTCGTTCCGAGCTCATCTCTTCTACCTTCAAGAAGGAAAAGGCCAAAAGCTGTTCCATCCTGTGAAGTGGGGGTTGGAGAAGGGAGGCAACCTCCCACTTCCTCCCTTGGGTGGCAGAGGCACAGGGAGAGGGAGGATGGGACAATTGAGGACACTGGACGTGCGTTTTTCAGACGGCCACGGGGAGGCCTTGAAAGGAGACAGGAATGGGACGAGGAAAGAGCCAGGCCCGGCTTGAGGACCTGCCCTGAGAAAGAACCATCACACCCCAAGCCAGGCACTCGGTTGTGGTGGGGGCGGCTGCCCCAGTGTCACCCCCACGCCCCCGCCCCCACTCCAGAGGAAGGAAAGGTGTGGGGGTGCGGGGGGCACGCTGGCCTCATGGGCTTGGGGGCCTCCAGGAGCCTCACCTTCAGCATCATGCCTCTTCCACACAGCGCTTCCGTGTGGGCCAGGGGTGGGGCGGGGTCCCCGAGCCCTTCCCGTCCCGTCTGAGGAAGCCGCGCAGGAGTGGAGTGGGAAAGCCAAGAGGCGGCTCCCGTGGGAGCCGAGCCCAGGTGCTTCATGACGGGAGTCAGAAGGCCAGGAGCTGGTCAGAGCCAATGAGAAGGAAACCTCATCTTTGCATAGCCCATGCCTCATGGAGAGCTGACATCATACATTCATACCTTCTCACCTAAGTCCCCAGGGTCCAAGGGAGAAGCCCCAGACCCCCTTCTCTCGCAGTGTGGGGGTGGTGGTGCTGCCGGGGGCAGGGCTGGGGGGGGGGTCACCAGACTTTTTCTGCCCTCAGGGCATGACAGCTGGCATTTGTTTTATATAGACTCTTGTCTTTGGAACCGGGGGGGTGGGGGGAGAGTGTTTCAGTCTGTTCTACGTTCTGTGTTTAAAGAAGAAAAACCTATTTATTAATGAAAAATATAACACATATAAAGAAAAAAAAACAAAGTGAGGGGGAAATGATTGAAAAGATAGGAAGAGAACCTCAGTGACTTGTAGGACAATAACAAAATGTCTTGAATATGTGTAGCTGAAGTCCCAAAAGGAGAGCAAGGAAAGAGTGGGATACACAAAATGTTTGAAGATATAATGGTTGAAATTTCCCCAAATTTGGTAAGTGATATAAATGTACTCATTGAGAATCTCAGTGAACTCTAAGCAGGTTAAGTGTGAAGAAAACCATGATTCACTGCTCAGTGAACTCTAAGCAGGTTAAGTGTGAGGAAAACACATCCTAAACAAGCTGCCAGAACCTGAAGATAAAAATAAAACCTGGAAAGCCCCGGGAAAACAACCCATATGTGATAGAAAACAATTCTAATGATTGGTGACTTACTATCAGAAACCGTGGAGGCCAGAAGACAGTAGATCAGTAGATCCTTAAAGTGGTATGGAAAAACAAAACAAAACCCTCTGACCTTGAA